TTTTCGTGCAGTTTTACAGCAGAATTGCAAAGGAATGGTTACCAGGGAACAGTTTCCGCGTGAAATTTGTTGCCTTTCTGATACCAAAAATTTTGCAGACTCTGCTTGGAATCTGCTGCTCAGGTTTGGCTTGCAGATTTAAAAAAAAATATCACTAAGAATTAACTCCAGGCTAGTGAATGCTCAGTCCATTGCACTCCACCGTTGTATTTTATAAATGCAGCCAATTTATTATAAACCAATAATAAACATCCAAAGATTGTTCGGCAATTAACATTTATTTCATCTACTCCGTGTTATCTCATCTGCGTTCGTTATTAATATTTTTAGAGTAAATTGAGCTCTTCGATCCACTCTGGATTAGAAGGTCAAGCTTGCAGATGTATGTTCGTTTGCACGCAAAAATTTAAGTATATAGGTACTCCTATGCACTTCTTCTTATTCTATTTTAGTATTTTTATGTACTTAACTCTAATATTTAACTTTAATAAAATTTAATAAATGTTGAGGCTAAAGTGAGTTATGGCAACGACAACTCAGAATAAAATATTAATAAATAAAATCACTTGAATTACAGGACAAAATAAATAATAAAGTAATTGGTTATATTTTTTATTTTGGGATATATTTTTTCAAGACACTGATGATGACGATAAAGATGAAAATTTAAAACTTCTAAGAGTTAATCAATATCCAGAAGAAATTATTGTCCCTCATTTCTCTGCTAAATATTTATTATGCATTTCCGTATAACACGTTGCCGGTTCTGTCAAAATTAAGTTAATTCGTCCGTTTTTTGGTCAAAACATTTACGTAATTTACCCGGAATTTGGACCAGGTTGTGCGATTAATCCAATCCGAAGAGATATCAAATTTTGTATGTTTTAAAAGAATCACAAATCCTACACACAAAACCTGCCTTATTTATGTGACATATTTTTGCCATTAATTATTTCGTCCTTTCATTAAAAATAATGAATACAGATAATTATAAAATATAGATATATAAAGTGTAAATATATTTTTTTATTTTTCGATTCTGACATTATTTCGAAGGATAAAATACAACCAATCTTGCTGAAATTTTAGATATAAATTTGAATTTGAATAGAAACAATTAACGGTAAAACTTAACAGAATATAATCTTAATTAGATCCGTTATCTAGTTATCCATGAAACAAATGTAAATCGAGTATTTAAATATATTTTTTCATTCCCTTGATCTTTCATTTACATAAAAATCAATTATTGGCATTTCCGTTGCGTGAATATCATTGCAACGTTCCGATCCGACTAATGCGAATGCTACGGGATCAATATGGACCAATCGTAAAAATTGATGGCCCAACATTTAGTAAGAACCCGCGCGCAAGAATTTTTTTATTGTCTCCATATTTATGCGAACAAATGTATAAATATCAAGACAAATTGCCATCGCCTGGAATCTCCTTAGGGCCTGATTGCAATCGAATAGTTTTAGAGTCGCATAGTTTTGTTTTTAGTTTGTTTCTCTCCGCGAGATGGAGCTCTGAGTTGCCAATTAAGGGGAACAGTTAGTCTTACCAAAGATTCCGAGCGGTACGCAACGCGAAAGTAGTTCGTCTCACGTAAGATTTCCTACCAGTATACGCCTCGCGATATCAGTCAAAGCGATTTCTTGTATAAATAAAGTTTTTGTACTCAGCAAGAAGTGTAGTGCTTCCGAAAATCACCCTTGCCCTACCAGATCCACACTAACTAACAAAACATTGGTCCTTCGAGCCGGATCTGGGCGAGGCGCGGTTTTCTCGTGCAAATCGGTTTTCGAGTCGCGAACGACCGAGTGTACAAAGACGAAAGACGAGTATACGTGCGCGGTGAGAACAGTTTTCGCGTGATTAGACGAGCATAATTCCGTCAAGCCGAAAGGTCGCGTCGTTGTTGGCCTCACGTAACGGTCAAGCAAAATGTCGGCGTTCGAGAAGCTCGTAAGAAAGCGGGCGTACATAAAGGGGCGCGTTACTTCCATAAACCGATGGATGCAAACGTGCGTCATTTCCGAATCAACGGAACACGAGATCGATACGTTTTTAAGCGCACTGGATCGACATCTCAAGGATTTCTCGCAGATACAGGACCAAATCGACGAACAAGATAGCGTATCCGCCGACGAGCAACAGAAGGAACGTGGCGATTTCGAAGACGGCCATCTTAAGACCGAGTCGTCCCTCCGCTTGTTGCAAGCACGAACTCGAGCGGCGCAACAGGCGACCGCAGCCGCAGCGCCATCCAACGCCGCGCAACGAAGCCAGTCATCAAACACACCGACGACTGCATCTGTCAAACTTCCCGAGATCAAACTAACCCCATTCGACGGTGAATGGGAGAATTGGTTGACTTTCAAGAATATATTTACGGAGCTTATCCAAAACAATGTGCGATTGAACGACACACAGCGGTTCTATTACTTACAGTCATACGTAAGCGCGGGATCGGCGAGGCAATACGTCGAACTTCCGCTCACCGCCGAAAACTATGCCGTCGCGTGGCAGCAGCTGACGCAGCATTACGATAACAAAGCTCGCATTATAAAGAAACACATCAAGAATTTCTACGATTTGAAGATAACACAAGAAGACTCCGCATCATCCTTGCAGACTCTGATTGACGGAGTGCGGCGAAACTATCATGCCTTGAAGGCTCTCAAGCAACCGGTTGACAAGTGGGATGCGTTTCTCACGTATCATATTACGACTAAACTCGATGCAGCGTCAAGAAAGGAGATCGAATCAAAGACTCCGACCGACAGAATACAAACCTTCGAGGAAATCATGACAGTGCTAGAAGAACGAGTGCGCGTGTTAGAGGCAATTGCGACAAGTGCGCGCGCGAAACCGGAAAGGTCCAGTACGGCCTTTGTAGCTACATCAAAGGTTATGTGTGGCATCTGTCAAGCGGAGCATTCAGTGTTCAAGTGCAAAAAGCTAACAGACCTGCCGGTAAATCAAAGAATAGCGACAGCGCGTAAATTAAATCTCTGCATTAATTGTTTAGGCAGTTCACATCGTGCGATAGATTGCAAATCCGGAGGCTGCCGAATCTGTCAAAGGCGACTTCACACGCTGCTCCATTTGAAGACAAACGCGCTCGAGTCTCCGTCACAGCCAAACGCGATCGACACAAAGGATGCCTCGTCTAACGGAAGTAAACAAGAAGCTAACGTGAGCTCCTCGACAACGACTTGCAATTTGAATGTTCGTCCGGAACCTAAAGTCAAGCAAGTATTACTAGCTACTGCGATAATCAAAATTTATGATTCTAGTGGACAGGAGCATCTAGCTCGAGCACTCCTTGACGGGTGCTCTCAAAACAGCTTTATAACTACACGCATGTATCAAACGTTGCGACTGAAGGGAAGAAGGGTTAACCTTCAAGTAACTGGATTGAATGATGCTCAAACACGGGCACATATTATTGTGCGCACAACTATAGGATCACGCATCTCGTCTTTTAGAACACCTATTGAACTGCTAGTTACAGAACACATCACTCAGAATATGCCGATCTGCCCCATCGAGGATGCTATGCAGATTCCGACGACCGTTTAATTGGCTGATCCGCAATTTCACACGCCCTCCAAGATTGACTTGCTAATTGGAGCCGATATTTTCTGGGATCTACTCACGGGAGATCAAATCGCAATGAAGCATGGATTTCCAAAACTACATGGCACGGTCCTAGGTCACATAATAGGAGGACGAATTCTGGAGCAAAATCGCCAGCCGAAACTAACAGTGTCACTTGCATGTACGGTGAATAATTTGAACGAGCAAATACAAAGATTCTGGTTGCAAAAGGAAGTGATCAAGGATCGGGCATTATCACTCGAAGAAAGGGAGTGCAAGCTACATTACAAGCAAACAACGGTGAGAAAGCCGGACGGAAGATACTCCGTGTCACACCCTACGAAACCGGAGATCACGAATCTCTCCGATACCAAGATGGCAGCATTGCAGCAGTTTCTTCGGTTGGAGCAACGATTACGAAGAGAACCTGAAATACAGAAATTGTACCACGACTTCATGCAAGAATACATCGACTTAAAGCACATGGAGCCGATAAACGAGACATCTAATTCTGAGCCAGAGGCGGTGCAATACTACTTGCCGCATCACCACGTTCTTAAGCCCAGTAGTACTACTACAAAACTACGAGTGGTTTTTAATGCCTCGTTTAAGATAGAACCACATCTATCACTTAACGACGTTCTGAAGGTAGGTCCCACGATACAATCAGACCTATTTACCGTAATTCTTCGTTTCAGAACTTACATATACGCACTGACGGCCGACATCATTAAGATGTACAGGCAGATAGAAATACACAAGGATCAAAGATGTTTACAACGCATTTGGTGGCGTCCTAATTTTCTTGTGGAGATTCTCAGTTATCAGCTTAACACTGTGACATACGGAGAGGCCAACGCTCAATTTTTAGCAACCCAGACGGTACAACAATTAGCCGAAGATGAAATGAAGGATTTCCCTGAGGCCGCTCGCACAGTGATTGAAGATTCTTACGTTGACGACGTCACAACGGGAGCGTCGACGATTCAGCGACTTAAGGATTTGCAGCAACAATTACAATCTCTCATGCGGCGAGGCGGATTCGAACTACACAAGTGGGCATCCAATTGCAACGAGGTGTCTACGAACCTTGCAAGCAGCGTTGCTTTTCCCAAGGTTGATCAAACTCGCACACTAGGACTGATCTGGTAAACTGGAGACGATCAATTCGTACTAACGTGGGACAAGGTCGAGGAACGCCACAACTACTCGAAGAGAATGATCCTGTCTGAAATAGCTAAACTTTACGATCCTCTTGAACTCAGCGCACCATTGGTATTCTGGGCCAAGGTGTTAATGCAAGAATGGTGGAAGATTACAGATCTCCAATGGGACGACCCTCTACCAAAACCATTACAAGAAAAATGGATGACTTTCCGCAAGCAGCTCAATGTTTTAGTGGAAATCAAAATACCAAGATGTGCCCTCCCTCCGAATGCCGTCGCACTGGAACTTTATGGATTCGGGGACGCGTCTGAGCTCGGTTTCGGATGTTGCATTTATCTAAGGGCTTTTGATCAAATTGGCAACTACACCATAAATCTTTTGTGCGCTAAATCTAGAGTCGCGCCGCTGAAAAAGACTACCATTCCAAGACTGGAACTTCAAGCCGCGCTCCTACTAGCGGAGCTCGCCGCTAAGGTGACCGGCGCAATAGCATTGGTCTATCGACTCATCTGCCTCTGGACGGATTCAACAATTACTCTATATCGTATTCGATCGCAATCAAGTCGCTATACAACCTACGTGGCAAATAGGATTGCCCGCATACAAGAATTGAGCACGCCGGAGCAATGGAGGCACGTTCCAGGCGAACTGAACCCAGCGGACTTGGTATCTCGGGGCCTTCTACCAGAGGCTCTCAGTAAGACAGATAATTGGTTTCACGGGCCTGCCTTCCTAAAGTACGAAGAATCCGAATGGCCATTCCTACGGCTAGAGCGGACGGAATCCAACGACCAGACTGACGAGGAATTGAAAAAGACCATCAACGTATCTTGCATAGCGGCGGTAGCGGATCCCGTGATGAATTACTCGAGCTACACGAAAACGTTGCGAATCAGTGCCCGTTGCCGCAGATTCGTTGCAAATTGCAAAGCGACGCGAGACAGAAGAGACTATGGCCCTCTATCAGCCTCCGAATTGAATGAGGCCTTGCTGGGATTGATATGAGCTGCACAATCTGAGGACTTCGCTCAGGACATCAAGAAATTACGAGAATACGGTACTACTGATTACAAGGGCAGAGTGCAGTCCCTTCGTCCCTACCTCGATGAACATCACATTCTTCGTGTAGGAGGTCGACTCCAGAACTCCGATCTGGAAGATAATCAGCGTCATCCGATGCTGCTACATGCGAAAAATAAACTAAGTAGACTAATCGCTCGATACTATCATAAAGGTGCCAATTCATGGGACGCTGAAAAACAGCGTTGAGCTACGTCACGTGACATCACTATGATGCCAGCGTCAAGAAACAGAAGTTGGATTTTTCCAACTTCAAGCGTCAAAGCCAAAGCAACGCGAAGACGCCGAAATTTTGACGCTGTTTTCTTTTTCATGAATTTCAATTGACGCCGGCGTCAATTGTGGTCATGCGACCTTCTTGTCGCTGAAAATGAGCGTCGAGCGTCAGCATGAAAAGGCACCTTAAAGCAAACCTGCACGCGGGACCTCAAGCCTTACTATACACCCTGCGGCAGCAATTTTGAATCATCGACGGACGCAACTTGTGTCGAAAAACGGTGCATAACTGCGTGCGCTGTTTCCGGGCGAAACCTATCATAGCGGAGCAAGTGGGCCAATTACCAGCAGCCAGAGTACAGCCAGCTCGACCATTTCTCCGAGTAGGCATTGATTTCTGTGGCCCGTTCAACTGTAAACCAAGGATTCGGAGCAAGGCAATCCTCAAAACATACGTTTGCGTATTTGTGTGTTTCGCCACTAAGGCGGTTCACATGGAAATAGTCAACGACCTTACCACGGATGCATTTTTGGCAGCATTGAGGAGATTTGTCGCTAGGCGAGGTCGATGCACGGATGTATTTAGCGACAATGCCACAAACTTCGTTGGAGGCAATCGCGCACTCCAGGAGCTTTATGAACTATTCCAAAATACAGAACACCAGGAGATCGTACAGCGATTCTGCGCAAATGAGGGCATCACTTGGCATATGATCCCTCCTAATTCTCCACACTTTGGTGGTCTGTGGGAGTCGGCGGTAAAGGCAGCTAAGCATCACATGCGCAGAGC